GGCTTCCAAGTCTAACCAGAGATTCCTTATAAAAAGTTTTAGCAAAGCTAATTTTGAAAGAAAGCCTAGATAGCTAATAAGTATTCTTGCTACACTTTAAGTAAATAATTAGACCCAGTGTACTGAAGGTACAGTTTATTTTGGCAACTAAATTAGTCCTACTATAATTTGTCTTTAATAAAGAGAGAAATTAAAGAGAGAAAAATGGTTCAAGGAGAAAAGAGACTGTGGTCCACCTGTATTAAATCTCAGCATTGTCTGTAATGTTGGCTCATAAAATGAAACATACCTGTTTTATTAAACTGATCTGTTAAGTGAAAATTTTTAAAAAAGCCTAAGAGTATAGAATTATATACAGTTATTATATAGAATTATATACAATTATATATATTTCCTCTGAAACCTTGAAACTCAGCAAGAATTGCCTATTGGCCACACTAGAAAATTTGTATAGTATTAAACATTATCTACTGTGTCTCTATGAATACCTCAGGAAAAATTGGAACCTGAATGAGAATTTCCCAGTAAATAATGTAACTGTAACATAGCCTCATATGTAGCCCCATAACCAACTGGTATTCAAGAATATTCACTTGAATTATCCAGAACTTTAAATCAATTCTGTAGAGACTCTTAAAACTATGTATTATCTTAAAAACTGTGCTATGTTTATAAAAAAAAAAATACTAATGTTCTCATTATGTAAACCTTAGCCTCAAAATCCAGAACTTGTAAATGTTTGTAAGTAACGGCTAAATAGTTTCATTGTCTTACACTAAACCCAACCCTAACTTCACCTGTCAGTAATAATTAACCATGTTCTATTTAATGCAGTGAAGATGAAAGAAACTCACCTAAATTCTTCACAGCTAACCAGAGAGAACTTCACTACTCCATAGAAAGCAAAAATCACTTTTAAAATGGTCAACATGCCCTGCTCCAGCCACATACTGGAAGCTGGCTGGTCCACACACGACTGAAGCCTGAGGAAACTCCTTGTGGAACTTGTCTTAATTAAACTTTAAGAAAGGAAGAGAAAAAGGTGTAATCTATGTACCCGTACCACTAAAATAGACAACAAGCCTTCCACGTTCAAGTTAAAATTAATGATTTAACTTATGGTCCTAGGATCAGTGGGGATTTATTAGGCCTAG